CAGTAGGAATGATGTATTCAGTGCAAAGGCTTTTTTTTTTTGGCTTGGACCATCTGCTGGTAAAATGTTCCTATTACTAAAATCTCTTCCACATAAGAAACTGACCCATCAGTGATAACTTGTCAGTGACTGATGTCCTCAAACAGAGACATTACCATTTTTAAGACTGCTACAGAAAGTAGTGTTAGATGCTTTGAGAATTACTTTGTCCCATGTCTACAAACAGTGAATCCATTTTTAAGCCAGTGCAGTAAGACCTTTTCTGACTGTTGTCACCAATGAATCACTTCCCTATCATAGGGAGAACCTTAAGAAATGCTTCAACCCAGCAGAAATATCTTGTTCATAGCCACTCCCCAGATTCTCCTTTATTTATGTTCTTGGTGTAGATTTTGCAGCTTCCTAAATCACCTATGACTCATGTCCATGTACCATTGCATCTACATATTATTATGTATGGATCCACATACCATTATGTATGTATCAAAAGACAGCCAAAGAGTTCAAAGGCCTTATAGGATGTGTGTCAAGCAGAGCAAGGTAGTGGCTGGAGAATTGGGGTCTATCTCTAGCTTTGCCTGTGACTTCTCATGAAAGGTTAATGAAATTATATAGGTGACTAAATCAAAGTGCATGGAGTTAGATCTTTAAACACATATACAGTGAGAATATGGGCAAATTTTCAGGAATGCTTAATTCCCAGAAATTCATTGAGAGCAACAGAATCTGTTGTTGTTCAGACCCTTTTGAATTCAAACCAATTTATATAGATAGCAAAGACAAATAAGTGTTAGTATCTAAGTCTGAAAATATCTAGCATGCACCATTTTTCCTTCAGTTGCTGGACAAAAAAAGAAAGCATTATTTTCCCCATGGTTTCATAATGTGCTTATATATCCTGAAGTGACAGGTGATGTGTGAAAGCAACAAGTCTGTCTGTATAAAGTCATACATATTTTAATATAAGAAAAAATGTAGTGACTAAAAGAAAAAAAGAATCATACTTGAAAAATAAATTTGGTAGCAGATGTAGAGTGCCCCTAGCATTAGGCAAGCCTTTTACCCAGGAGAAGAGGTAGTTCACTGATGTCTGTAGGTGGTAGAATCCCATCATAGCATGACTCCTGCTCCCTGACTCCTGCCAAAAAACCAAGATTTGTGTATCAGGGAATTCTAACCATGCCCAGTGCCTACATTGACTTACAGGGGATTCAAGAGGAAAACAGCATCCATGAAAAAATTAATTGAGCTTACCTTTGTTTCTTTCTATGGCTGTTTTCATAAAAGCCTGGGAGGTATGGGACAGCTTCAGAGACTTTAATGGCAATTCTTATCTTTCAGGCACCGGATCTCAAAATCAAAGTTTAGGTAAGTAAAATTTACTTTTGACTTTCCTCCTTTCCACTAGTTTTGTTCCTTACTTTGTGAAGTGGTTTACTCCTGCATCTGTGGGACACAGTGGTCATTCTAGGAGATAATGGTAAACTTGTCAGATTTTAGTCAGTCATCTGCCAAAATTCAAGATCCTTTTTCTTAGTTTCATACTGAAATAAGGCATAGGGACTACTGACAGTATTTCACTCAGAAGTATCTATCTGATTGCTACCTGAGTAACTCGAGCCATGAAATTTAAAAAAAAAAAAAATTCAACTACAATTATACTACATCAGCCCTGTCAGCTCAAGGTTCTCTTTACTACACTTTGTTGCACGGCTCCACTATGTTTGATTGTAAATCTTTTAACTGATGGGGTTTGCATCTTATGTGTGAAATGCTCCCTTTCACCATGGAATGTGTGGCGCTTTTCTGGTGGTATTTATTTTCCTGTTGACTTAAAGCTATTGAAAATGTGAAGCAGTCCCCAGATGTTCATCTGCAGGTTTCCGCTGGAAAGGCTGACTTAAATGATGAAACTTGGTTGTTGAGGTCCCAGTCCATGTCTGCCTCTTCAGTGGGAGCCCAGCTGCCTCCATAACTCTGAATTCAAAGTCAGTTTTATAAACAACTAAATTAATTTTCAGAATAACTGGAACAAGTGAGCAACTCTGTCCTTCAGCTTACTTAAATAATGAACAGTAAATTCAGGAATGCACATGTGCATACATACTACCTGTATACATCCCTGTGCAAAGAGTTGTATACATGATGACATTCCTACAATCCGTTAATTCATTTGTATGTAGGTGTAAGCACAAAAAACTACTTGTGTCGTCACGTGGTCATGTGCATGCACATTTGTGCACAAGTACACATGAAAGTGTGTGGGATTGCTAATGATTTAATGACAAACTGAATGTGTAAGTGTTGTGCCCATTTTGAAAGCTGGGAAGATCATTTCTTGTCCCAGATCCACTGAAAAACACACAACCCTTATTAAATGTTTGTGCTAGCAAGACTGGTTGCCTTTACAAATTGCATAGCTGAAACAGTCTGGATTTGATTACCTGTTAAAATGTTGTTGCTAAATTCTTGGTCAGTGTTCAGTGTTCATGTTGCCTAGCTTTAATTCATACAGATGCTGAGCCTTGACCTCAAGCATGGCCATAGTTTATCACTTGAAATAATACATAAGAGAAGACTAGCCAAGAAAAGTTCTCTCCTTCTGTAATGTTGTGTGTGCCTCTTTATAGATACACGCATACACATATGTATATAATATCTATATAAAACTATTAGATTTATTATACAGTGGCAAGTGTTGCCTGGAAACTGGTTGCTATGCAAGTTAAATTCTGAAGAGTAGGAGGTGTGTAATTAGCTTTAAATATCTTCTGTGGTTAGTAATTACCCTCAGAAATCAGTGACACAAGGGGATGTGTTCATGGAAGGCAAACTTTAAAAGGTTTGCTGATTAGCAAATGGTATCTTTAGTTCCAGGCATGAAGGTGAGATGCTGAGGTCCCCCTGAGTTTTGTCTTTCTGTTCAGAGTTAGCCCTCACATTGGGCTTACTCCTGAACATTGTTGAATGTTGGAAATGTTCCATGAATTTTATTTGACCTCATCTCTCCAAAGACTTAATCCAAAGGTCCATGGTATAGAGTGAGTATCTTTTCATTGACTATCCTGAGGCTGGGCAAGATCCCATTGCAGGCCACAAGGATTAAATACAAGAATAATTATTTTTGTGGGAACTGGGCTAAAAATCCCCTCAGGACAGCTGCGATAGATATCTTAATCAGATTAAGACATTGCTTGAAGAGGTTTATTCACCCCTAAATGTTGCAAATTGGCTTAGGACTAACATTATTCCTATAGCTAAAGGAAGGATGGTCACATCTGTCGACTCATATGAGAATGAGACAACATTTCTCAGGGTGAACTTTAAAGTTATTCTCTACCACTCTTGAACAATAAATCAAGACTAGCGTATCTCTTGACAGAGATTTGCAATAGCCTAAGGATCTCTATCTGAAAAGAACTTTTCCTTTTCCAATTTTTCAAGTCGCTACTGGCGCCGATGGAATCGATTCTGCAGGAGAAAGTGCCGCGCTGCTGTCAAGTCCAATGTTTTCTACTGGTTGGTGATCTTCCTTGTGTTTCTCAACACCCTTACCATTGCCTCTGAACACTACAACCAGCCAGACTGGCTCACTGAGGTCCAAGGTGAGGAGAGGCTGAAGGTTCTGTTTATTGTGATCAATGTCAACAAAGGGGGCTGAGGGAGGAGCTGATACATTAGACCACACAATGTAAAACAAGCATACACAGCTCCAAACAGTCCTCTGTCTATGGAGGATCTTAAATAATACAACAGGATATCTGCCTACAATGGAAGAGGTTTCAGGGAGAACGTAAATTCCTTGTTTCCAGCCAAAACAGTGTTCCACTGGGTGTAGGTGAAATCAGGAGCTTATGCTAGATATACATTTGCAGCAACTGGATTTCTGATTTATGGATGGCTACTGGGAGCCACAGGTTCTCCAAGGTTTCCCCTTAAATGGCATTTGTGATAAATCCTGGGTACCAGGGAGGTACAATGATTTGTAAAGTTCTTCTGTCTGCAGAATGGTTGAATCCTCTCTGGAGGTAAGAGCAGCTGAAAGGCTTAATTAAGCAGCAGTAGGTAGCACAGCAGTTCTTCTATTCCCACTCTCATCTGCAGATGACAAGTGTGATGGGAGGTTTTGCACAGGAAGGCATGTCCCTGCCATGGAGGTTGTGTAATACATCACAGCTGTAGGTGCGATACATAAGAATCACTGTAAGCATCTCTGTAAAACATTTCTGTGAATGAGATGCCCACACTTTTGAAGTCCATTCTTCAACCCAAGCTTATATGAGGTTAATCTTTCAGACTGATCCCAGAAGGGGTTTCTTATAGGCAAGGGCCAATGGTTAACTATAATTATCTTTTGACTAAGTTTCATTAATCTGTTTCTGTTTGGTTGTTTTTTTTTCTTGAGACACTGCCAATAAGGTGCTGCTAGCTCTTTTCACGGCAGAGATGCTGCTGAAGATGTACAGCCTTGGTCTTCAGGCCTATTTTGTGTCCCTCTTCAACCGCTTTGACTGTTTCATTGTGTGTGGAGGAATCCTGGAAACGATTCTGGTTGAGACAAAGATCATGTCACCATTGGGCATTTCGGTGTTGAGATGTGTTCGGCTCCTAAGAATATTTAAAATCACAAGGTATTTTTTTGCTTCTTTGGGAATGGTGGAGGGCTATGGCTCAGTGCACAAGAAGTCACTCACATACCTGTTTTTTCACTTTTTCTACCACTGATTGGATAGTGAGAGTGCTAGGTTGATGGTCTTCATCTTCTGAAGTCTGGGGCAGGATAGGGAGGGCTGTACAGACTGCATGTTACTGATGAGTGGTAAGGACTGGTGAGAAGTCTGGTGTAGGAGCCTGGAGACACCTGATACCATGCAGATTGTTAAACTGAAATCTGAAACGATAATACAAGCTGAGTTTAGGCTCTTACGGTTCCCTGCAAAAGACAAAGTGAAAACAAAACAGCAGATAGCCTTGTGACCTTTTTTGTTGCTTTATGGTGACAGAGAGGAGCCTGAAAGACTGTTTTGAGCCAAAACAACATTTGACTGAGGAGCTCATGCCAGCTTAAATAGACTCAACAGTGGCCTGAGTTTGAGATATGTCAACACCAGCAGTTACAGGCAAAGAATGTTGGCAGTCCTTCTCCTTCAGAGGAGTCCAGCATGAAGCAGCAGCTTTACGAAGAAACCAGACTTTTCCAAACTGCAGTCTCCCCTCTTTTTCCTTTCTCTTCTTTCTCCTCTCCCCCTGCATTAAAGGCACAGTGGTGTCTATTAAACAGTTGCTGCTTCCTGCAGTCAGGTACCTCCAAAACACCAGCTTGGTTTGGCAGGAGTTTTTCAGCTTGAGAGGAGGTTATAGGAGAGATCACCTCCCAGCTTACCAGATGGGAGCTCTTGGAACAAATCTGTCCAAGTGCTCACACGAAGCAGCACAAGGTCTGCCTTTTCCCATGTGGGCACTAGTCAGCACCTCATAAAGTGTTTGACCGAGGTGGTGCATATTCTGCAAGCTCAGCTATGGAAATGTCCCTGGAATTGCTATAAACTCCCCCAAAGAAAATTTATGTCAAATTTTAGGTAAAAAACACAGCACTTGAGAAAAACAAGAGCAAAATTGGAAGACAGTCAAGATGGCGGAGCTGAGAAGCAGAAAAATGAATAGACTTGGACTTGTGCATCGTACAGGATTTACCCTTAAATCTTCTAAGCCTCAACTCTCTGACAGGGTGGATGGTTTTCAGGGTCAGATGGCAGAGACAGAAAATCTGTTTAAAGTCTCAGAGAGACTTTAACCTTGCCAAAGCAAGCCTACAGCTATTAAAAAAAATAAAAAAGGTGGTCTGTTTAGACTTGTGACCATAGAAGAGTAAAAAACGTTCCAGCTAACAAGAGTTTCCAGCAAGAAAGGCATCTTTGCCCTTTCAGAAATAGTGGGGATCTCTGGTCTGGTGACTGTTTTTCCTGGATCTTTGGGTCTGAAAGCTATCATCACTGAGTCCCAGGCCTGGTTTCTGAGGAAACCAGTAGCTGTTTCAGGCATTGGGTAATCAGATACACCCAGGGCAACATACCAATAGCTATAAAAGCATAAGCTTCAACATAGCATCCTGGAGAGGTCATTGTTTTTTCAAGACATTTATCCACTCCTACACAAAACATATAATCTGGCTAAGAGAATTCTGTAATAGAAAGGCAAATGCTTAGAGAACATCATTAATACTTTCGGAAGCTTGAGCTATTGGAATACTCAAATATTCCTAAAGCTTCTGGCAGAGGTATAATGTTGGAACCAACCAGCAGTTAGGACTAGTTATATTTACCTTCGTTCTGCAGGAGAACTAAAATACAATTTTTCATGGAAGCAAATGTTACCTGGAATACATCTCCTGGGGTCCCCTGGTCTCCTTTGTACAGGGTTCTATTTGTAAAGCACAGACCTAAGAAATAAGTCATAATTAATTAATCAGATTTTGCCTTCTTTCCTGTTTCTAAAATATGGGGAAGTAGGTTGCAGTAGTCTCAGATTTATCTGTGGTTTTTAATTATTCATATTTTTTTTTCATGCTTTTTCCCCTCTGTGGGTGAAGTTCACCCTTATGTGGAAGGCCCTACCACAAGCCTCCAAAGCAGTATTTTAGGCCCACTCATGTCTTACTGCAGGAGAGAATATTCTGGCACTAAAGCAAAACTTTTACGTCTGATGTTCTCCAGCAAAATACTTTTTTTTTTCTTTATTCACTCAGCTTTAAATGCAATGGTGATTTATTGACTATGTTATCAATACTGATGGAATACACCACCTGAGTGCAATGATAATACAGAAAGATACAATCCTAGAAAGCTGAGAAGGGTAGGAAGGATGATAGTATAATGTTTTATGTCAAACATATATTCATGAGCAGTGACATGGGGACATACAGTGGAGATGGAAATAGTGATAATCAAGGGCATTAAAAGGGCACAAAGCAGAAAAAATATTCTGGTGAGAGTATATCAGTAGGTAGCCTAATCTTTATATATTTGTATGGATTTTCCATGGTAAACACAAAGCACAAACAAATTTTGGGTGCAACAAGATGATGCATTTCTGAGAAAAACACAAATACAGCTCTCTAATAGAATAGAAACAAATAAAGACAACATCAGATGAACAACGCATCATTTTAGAAACCGCATTTAGAATTTCAAGAAGCATTTCTCTCAAATTTATAAATACTCTTCAGAATCATTTAGTCTTCTCCATTAGACAAGCAGACAGTATAACCTGTTTGTTTTATTCTCCCTAATTTTTACAGGGCTGTGCAGAAAATCTCTTTGCTATAAGAAGACAAATTATTTTCTCTTTATAAATAGTCCTTTACTGCTTTATAAACCCCTATATTTAGTCCTTTATACTTAAAAATTAAATCAGTTTATTTGCAACAGCATTCTAAAATTTTAGATCTTATACCTAATCCTGCCACTAACTGTCACTGTTAACTGTAGGGAGGGAGAGACAGGGCATCTTTTTTTGTACCTGCTTTCAAAGTGGTTTTATATTGGATGAACAGTGTGGGAAGCTTTCCTACAATGAAACTCCCAGCTGTTGCTACTGTTTTAAGCTCTGCATCTGTTATTGCAGGTATCATAAAGTGGAAGGCAATGGAGGTAAGAGAATAAAAACACACATTAAGTTCTAGTCCAGTTCTGCAACTGATTTTTGTGTGAGATGTTGAACAAATCATTTAACTTCTCTGCATCATTGCTCCATTTTGAAACAGGGAGCATAATCACGTCCTGGTCACTGGGGTTTTCCAGTGCCTTATTCACTGAAATCCTCAAGAGTCTGAGATCTGACAGTGGGAGATGTTAAGCACATTCATTTCCCTACAAGTCTGAGGCAGCAGCAGTGCTTTCTCTCGTACCTCCCATTATACGCTGCCTGGTCCAAAACCTCTGATTTCATCCAGCAGTGTCATGAGTATTGTAACTGTTTTTATTTTGTAGCATATTAACCAAAGAGAATGAAGTAGTGAGAGACTTCTTCTTTGTCTGGGCTTCAACCATTCCTAACTTAAAAGCCTTGTGTCTCATTGAGTAACCCCAGATCTCACTTTGAGGGATTGTTCATGTTCCTTCTGCAACCACCTAATGTGACAGATGGTAACCTCAGGTCAGGCTTCTAGGACACTAAGATAAGACAATTGTTATTTTCACATCCTAGTCAAGTCAAGCCTTCCTTACCCTTTCCTTTTTTCCTTTTTCTCTTTTTCCCCCCTGATTGGTTTGTTTACTTTCCTAATGGTGCTGTATTTCTAGCTAGCACTCAGTACACAGTTAAAACAGCACTAATCTTATCAACAGGTCATCTCAGTTAATTGCTTTAGGTTTGATAGTTACATGAGAAACTGAATCTCAGGTACTGAGCCATTTGTAAGAAATGCAGAGCTGATAAAAGTCTGTGCAGTTGTGTTCTGAGATAGCAAGGCATTAAAGCTTAAAGTGAGTCACTGAGACTATTCAGATGTGTAACAGCTTTACTGTATGCCTCTTCAGGGCACTGCTAGAAAAACCTAGAAAATTTATGTCCTGGCTGACATTGGAGGACTTGGAGAGATATTCTGGACCTCATCAGTCTCTGGTTTAAGGATGCTAAAGTCAGTTGAGTTTTATCAGAAATTACTTTTCTCCCTTTTCCTGTGTCACTTTCCCTTCCTTTCAAAGTGTGAATGTATGTGAGCTGTAAGCGTAAACACACAGAGAGCTGTTGTTACATTGCACAGTCAGTGCAGATATTTGGTGGCACTGAGCCCACAGCTCCATGCCCTTACCTTTGCTCTGTAGTTTTTCACTGCTCATCTCTTTAATTGCAGTTAAACTTTAAAGCATTCTAGTTTTCTCTGAAGTGCTGAAGCTGGGCTGGAGGGAAAACATCACAGTTCTCTTTGAAGCTCAGCCCTTGGAGATTAACCAGCTGCTGAACTTCAGAGGACATGGTGGTGTCCCTCTACAGATCAGATTGCTAACCTTCATGAAGTGATTGGGCTGCTCAAATGTTCCTGTCTTCCATGGGACAAGGAAAGTCTTCTTTCTACACTAACACGTTAAAAATAGTAATTTTGCTGGGATTTTACAAACCCTTGTCTCTTATGGCTACACTACCTTCAGAACAGATTTGTGTGTTGAAGAATCAGACTTCCTCAGAGCACTAGATATGTCTGCCATCCTTCTTGTCACAGAGGAAAGTAAGTCTTGAAATTCACAGTCCTTTAAGGAAAGAAAGGGTCACTGTTATGGGCTTTGGGAGAAGGGAGTGGAAGACTTTGGCCATGGTGGGATCTCAAAGCAAGGCGGTAGGCCACAAGACATAGTGCTAGAAGGAAGACTTGGAAATTATAGGCAAACCTTACTGGCTTGCTGACCTAGGAAAGCTGTTGAAGCTTGCTAGTAATGTGTCTTCAAAATGAGGTGATGAGAAGATGACAGCTAAACTTCAGCCCAGTCTGAAAGCTCTGTCAGTATCAAAACTTCATAAAAGAGAAGTGGTAATGAGCAACTAAGCAGTAGAGTAGGGGTGGTTGAGCAGATGCCAGACCAAAGTGGGAGTTACTTCATGGGTGATGTGGTGCATTCTTTAGAAAAATACATCCTTGTTCTAACACTTGGCTATTCTGCAGACTGGCAAAGAATGCAAGCAAGCTGGCGTGCTGCAGCAGAGCATGCTGCTGGCATCTCTTTGAACTCTTAATTGGGACCACAAGGGCAAGACGATAGCTTCTCTGCATCATGCATCAGTCTGATCTGGGCACAAGCCTGAATATGCTGGGAGAGCAGGTCTTAGCCATCCTCTCTCTTGAACAGTAGATGGTCTACAAGCAGAAGTCTGAATTTTCTGTCATTTTGCATGATGTCACAAGTAATTTGTCTTCTCTCAGTAGCTGGGCTACTAAGTGGGCTTCACCTTAGTCATATTCAAGAGATTTAAGTCAGTCCCAGAGAACAAAAGATCTGTTGGATTTGGTCACTGAGATCAGCTGGTGTGTTGGTGCCCTGAATATCCTGTAAATACCTTAGCCAGCTGTAAACATTCAAAACCCGCCTGGACACCTTCCTGTGTAACCTCATCTAGGTGATCCTGCTCCGGCAGGGGGATTGGACTAGATGATCTTTCGAGGTCCCTTCCAATCCCTAACGTTCTGTGATTCTGTGATCTGAACCTAGCTCCAAGCTCTTCCAAAATGTTCTGCAGGAACATTTGGAGCTTCTGAGGAAGTATAGTGGGTTTGATACCCAAAAAAGTGGTGGTGGTGTGCTCTTCCAAGCACAAAGAAAACCCTGGACTTTATGGATGTATATCTGGAGTCTCTTTTAGGGTCCATATAAAACAAGCATTGGTGAATGTGAAGGACTTTTAATACCTTGCTCATTCCTCTCAGTCCCAAATAGCTTAGCAAACTCTGTCTGTGAGTGAACCCAAGCACATAGTCTCACACACCAGATTTTGGACATGTTTGTATTTGCATCCAAACTGTTTCCCCATCTGCTCTTGTTAGTTATTACAGGCCATTCTCTGGAGTGAGGTATTCTGGCTGCCATAACATCTGTGAGTGTTGTAATGAGGTTGGTTAGAATGTAACTCACTGAAGCAGCAAGAACTAATCACCGTATATTGATATAAGATTTGCAGAGCCTTAGATGGAGAGTGCTGCAATAATCTTCTGGGTGTGCGTATGGGGTAGGGGGTGGAGGGAATTGTGTATGTACACGTGTGGTAGTAAAATTACTCATTAGCTGCAGTAGGTCTCATTATCTTAGGGAAGCACATCGATGATTCACTGCTTAAGAGTGTGTTTGGAAATGCTTGCTTATATGCAGAAGGCAGCCTGAACCAATATCCTGTGCAGTCCATGAAGCACCTGTCTTGCATTGAAGAAATTTTAATTGCCTCTATTTTCTCTCCCAGATACTGGAACTCCCTGAGTAACCTTGTGGCTTCACTCCTGAATTCAGTCCGCTCCATTGCCTCCCTGTTGTTGCTTCTTTTTCTCTTCATTATCATCTTCTCACTCCTGGGGATGCAGCTCTTTGGGGGCAAGTTTAACTTTGATGAGATGCAGACCAGGAGGAGCACATTTGACAACTTCCCCCAGTCTCTCCTCACTGTGTTTCAGGTAAGGGCAAAGCGGTCTCAATGGGCTCAACATACTGTGTTTATATGGGACAAAACAGAGAGCAGGTCCTGCCCCCTTCCCTTTCAGGCTGACCACCCCCAAGACTGGACATCAGGCCAACAGCTCCAGGAGCAAGTTGCCACACTGTGCTCCCAGCACAGGAGTATTCCCTCCCAAAGTGGGGAACCAAAACTAAAGCTCCTGTGTGTGGAAAGGCCACCAGGTCTTAGCAGGGTAGGACAAATGAATGGCCATTGCCATGTCCCAGGGCAACACCTGCATGCCAAAGCCCAACCCTGTCAATGTCCTTCCCCCTTTCCACAATACTGGTGAACAAATATCTGCTCACAGTACCAGAGAAGTAATCAAATAGCTTTTAAGCTAACTGCAGTTTTGGGAGTGATCAACCAAGAACATTAGGATCATGATTTAATATGCAGGGTGAAGGGAACTGGTGGGGAGGGCTGTGCTGAGGGCTGTTTTCAGTGCTATTGGTTGTGCAGCCTGTCTGAAACAACAGACACATGGGAGGCAAAAGCCTTCAAGAGGTGGGGAGGCTTGAGCAGAGCTGCCTGGGAGAGCTGTTTGGCTTCAGCTATTATCTTCAAGGGGACATATCTTTTTTTCTTTCTTTCTTTCTTTTTACACTTTGAGCACAGGCCCTCTTTGCATTCTCCCTGTTTTATTTTGTTTTGTTTTAGTTTTTTTTCAATTTTATTTTCTAGATAATGGACACAACCAGCATCTCCAACCATCCAGGGGGAGGGATTGTTCTCTAGAATAGTAGAGATATCTGTGTTAATGGGGTTTTCAAATTCTCTTTGTGGTCTAACACTGTATCCCTTATTGGTGGGAATGTGTCATTTAGATCCTGACTGGGGAGGACTGGAATTCGGTGATGTATGATGGGATCATGGCTTATGGCGGCCCCTCTTTTCCAGGAATGTTGGTCTGTATTTACTTCATCATCCTCTTCATCTGTGGAAACTGTATCCTTTGATGCTATTCTTTTCTCCAAGTGGGGCTGAATTTAAAGCCATGCTTTACTACTTTGTTGTGTCAGAAAATAATTAATTTCATACTTTACATTTTTACCTTTTACCTAGGTCTGGATTTTGGCTTTGTGCTGCCAAAAGTTAAACAAGTTTGTTTAATTTTAGCTCGTGCTAAGACTTTAGACATATAAAGTCTTATAAGAGCCAGCTCCGTGCCAGTTCTCCATGCTAGTTCTCCATGCTAGCTTTTATTTAGTATCTTTACATGTTTAGTGTTTTTACTTTTCATTCCCTTTAATTCTCTCATAGGTTTTTCTTTCCTACCTTCTTCAGAAACTCTCTGTTTGTACCTACTGTACTTGCTGCATATTTTTGCTTTAATTGCCCTTTCAGTAATATATCCATGTGCTTTCATCAAAGCCTTATGTGGAATAAAATATGTATAATCTACAATATGCTATATACAAATCCTCTAATAGGAGTAACATATGTTTGACATAATTGATTTCTGTGAGGTCATGTGGTAATTAATGTATAAACTAACAGGAACCATGTTCCATTTCAGTTACTTCAATCTGTGTGTTCTTCAAACAGAAAATCGTGTGATATGCTATCTTCCAGCCTGTGCTGGTGTTAAGTAACTTCAGTTCTCTCTGGCTTCAAGGTGAAGTGAGGGCACTGTACATACCCCAGGAGGTACAAAGCACATTCCATGATTAGGCTGTGAGTGTCTTTTCATGGGAATTTGCATAATACATAGAGCTATGGTTCTGTTCTGTATCTCAGTTTGTTCCAAATTTGTTCATGTTTTGTTTCTGCTTCCCTAATAAATGGCCCTCTTGTGTCAGAGGTGACACTTCCTTTTATACTGGTTCTTCTATAAAGCCACCTTGTAGTCTCAGCCCAGCTCTTCTGGCCTTTCCTCATAATTCAGATCTCTCAAACCTTGTTATGTGACATTTCAGTTGACCTGCATGCTCTCTCTTCAAAGTGAGATGGTGCAATTCCACTTATCTGAAGGTCGAGGAAGGCAGTCTGCCTGACAGCTTTGGAAAGCTGCAATTTGGATCTCCTTGTGAACTGCAGAGGAAAACGCGAGCCAGCTCTACATGCTGGCTGACTTTGGAGCCACTAGACCTTGGAGCGTAGGGAGGGGGGTGGCTATATTTCCAGACTAAGCCTTGAACTGGGATTTACTTAGAAGTTATGGTGTAATAAGACCCTTTCTCAAGAAATTTATAAAAGAAGCCAATGTTCAGATTTGTAACGTGAGATCTGAACACTGACTGGAAAGACAAGAAAATAGTTGTGATTCCTTGCCTTTCAGCTACACGGGCATGACTGGCCATGCATGGACTCTCTGCTAGGAGATGGCAGAGTTGTCAGCTCAACCCTTCAATGCTCAGACTAAATGAATTTCTTCTTGGTTGCCTCAGAAATGCTAGTGAGAGTGCTATGCTTGCTGTCCATAAAATCCACTCATGTCTGTGAGAATGCCTATAATGAGGTTGTTGAACTCAAGTGCATAGGCCAAAACTGGAAAGCCCAGGTGCTGTATGATAGGAGGCTCTTGAATATAAGAGTGCTTTAATAAAAGCAACCTAAGCTGTCAAAGATGCAAAGTATTCAACGTTCACCTTATCTTTAGTTGGATTTGTTGCACAAAGTGAGAGTCTTTTGGGAAACAGGAAACTAAAATAAAGGTCTGGACTTAGATGTTTTATATCAGTCATTCTGTTGTGAAATTTTGGAAACTCCACAGAGTGTGTTAGCCGTTTGATTGGAAGGTGTAGGTTTATGTGTGCTGGATATGTATGTCCTGAACATTTGTGTGAAATGGAAGTTTGGAAAACCCAAGAGATCTGATGACAGGTTGCTAAAAATTTTCAATTAAGAAACCTTTGGTATAGTGTTGTTCCGCAGTTTTCAAAGCCCATTTTCTTTAAGTAGCACACAAACAGATATCCTGCTGAATGTATTTTTGGCCATTGCTGTGGACAACCTTGCTGATGCTGAGAGTTTAACATCTGCACAGAAAGAGGAGGAAGAGGAAAAAGAAAGGAAAAAACTAGCTAGGTAAATCTATTTGCATACACCTGTCTACACTCATATGTATGTATTCTTATGTTTATGATTACACACACTTCATGCACATATATATGTTCAAGTATGTGTGTATATGTAATATATATATGTATAACTTCTCTGTGGGTCTATATAGATCATATATATGTCATTAATGTAATTATATATGGAATTACCTATTTATAAATTTTTATGTAAAATAATTCGAACTAAAGGACAAAAATGTGTCATGAGCTGGGGGTCACCAAAGTTGCAAACAGGTAAGCAGAGGAAAGGAAGTCTGGGTGACTGATGAGCTTTCAGAGCATCAGCAGAGAATGAGTGTGAAATGGTGTCAATGTTATAATCCCATTTGAATCTCCCTATTACCTCCTGATTGCTTTGGACCACAAGGCAATTTTTCAGACTGTCATTCCCACAACACAAGATTCAGCACCTTCTCTTTTGATGCCACATCCTGTTCTCCTTTTGCCAGCTCCTTTAGTGTTTCTGCAGACTCTTAGGAAGCGGGAGCTGGATGTAGAGAAGCTCCTTCTTACTGTTTATTTCTAATCACTATCTTCAAGGCTTCTTGGAGCAGATCTCTTGTGCAGATCTTTCTGCTTTGTCCCGCATGCTAGTCAGCAGGTTTCCCTGGCTCTGGAAGTGGAGTAGAGGGGCAAAACTTTGTAGACAACCTAGTGGAAGTCTATGGGTTGTGTACTGAAAATGGTTCATGCCTTTGTCATTGGGTGTGCAAAAAGATCTCTAGTGACAAACACAGGCACATATTTCCTCCCCGCGCACATCCACGCTCACACAAACGCTTGCCATTGAGAAAGTTATGACAAAAAAGATGCTGTGTAAAATTAGAGCAGAGTCTCTGCCTTTTCCTGTAGATGAGGACAAGGTGGAGCTGATGGTATATAAGCTGGACTCAGAACGGAGGTGCCAGCCAGCTGATTGTTCTCATGGTGTGTGCTGTACTACATGAAGTTTCCAAAAGGGAAACAGCTTTTCACCTTTGTAACTCTTTGCATTTTGTCTTGTAAAATTGTTAGGACTGCTAGTCCTGAAAAGAAACAGGAGATAGAAAAAACAGCTGTGGAGGAGGAGACAAAGGAGGAGAAAATTGAGCTGAAATCCATCACTGCTGATGGAGAATCTCCACCTGCTACCAAGGTAAGGTCTGCTGCTGCCGGCCAGCACTCTCTGTGGAGGGATGGAATGAACAGCTTGGGTTTCTGTGGTAATGAAAACCCCCTGCCTTGTCTGATAAAGTCTTTGCTGCTTCTCCTTCCATTTCTGTCAGATCAACATGGATGATTATCAGCCCAATGAAAACGAAGAAAAGAGCCCATATCCCACAACAGAACCACCAGGTATATATCTTCTTCCCCTTATCCCTGTTTTGATGAAGAGAAGGTCCAGTTGCTAGTGCATATACAACTAAACTGTGGTAGCAGGTATGTGGAACCTGTAATGCTTTCATGACAGGACAGGATTATGTGCTTGCCTGTGTTTTGCACAGGTGTGGACTTGGTCCTTTGCAGTTCCTGTACTGATTGGTCAATTTTGATTTGATTCTCTGTAAAGCTCTGTATTCGGAAACAGAGAACCAAATCAAATCATATACAGATCTCTGCATATGATTTTGTTTTCAGTTTATTTTTTCAGTATTTAGTGGTCAGGGGAGACCTGCAGCAGATAGTCATGAAAGACAAAGTACTGAATACCTTTCTGCACTTTTTTCTAGTCAAAATACGTGTGACTTACTAAGATAATTCTAAAGGCATAACACCTCAGCCTAGATCTGGCAAAAAAAAAGCTAGAGCATTAGTTAGGCTAGTTTTCAAGTCAGTTGAACCTTATTAACTTTATCCTGAGATACTTGAAGAAATTGGTTGAAGATTGGTTGAAGAAATCTCAGAACTTCAAACAGGGTTTTTTTGAGATTCTGAATGGGTTCTGAGGTTGGAGCAGAAGAATTATAAGCTAGTCAGTTCAGCTTCCATTCTTGGGAAAGTGCTGGAACAAATAATTAAACAAAATATATGACTGCAAGATAAGGAGATAACTAGCAGCCAACATAGATTTGCCAAGAACAAATCACGTCAAACCACCCTTATTTTCTTCTAAAAGGTGCTGACAAGACTTGTAGTCCAGAGAAAAGAAGTAGATGTCATATTCTTTAGCTTTGCTAAGGCTTCTGACTGTCTCTTACAACATTCTCATAAGCCAGCTAGGAAAACATGGTCTAGATGACTGGAAGAGAAATAGGTCGGACCTTTCCTATCCCTTCACTCTGCATAGCAGGGATGGCCCAATTGAGGTTCTTCAACCTAAGAACCTGTCCCAAGTTCAATTCAGGTCATTGTTAATGACCTGAATGATGGAAGAGGAAATATCCTTGTTACATTTGCAGATGACGTGGAGCTTGGAAGGACAAGTAGCATGCTGGAGGGCAGCATTAGAATTCAAAGAGCTCTTGAGGAAGTGGATAAATGGTCTAAATAAAATTGAAAGTCCTAGGCTCTACACAAAGACAGGGATAAGCAACTCACAAATAAAGGATCTTAGGTGACAGCTATTTAGGTAACAGTCCTTGAGAAAAGAATCTGAATTCTGTGGTCACAAGCTCAAAAGATACCAACAATATTTTGCTGTCTTTCAAAAGACAAGTAGTGAGATTTATAAACAGTGAAAACATGACCCTTTAGTCAAGTTACAGGTTTCTTCTAACTGGGCAGTGAAAACTAAGCAGAGCAAAGCAATTGTTTTATTCTGTCTGTTCACCATTGATAAGATCTCAGCTGGGATACTGTATCTCATTTTGAGTGCTTTGCTTAGGAGAAGCGGGGCTGTATTTGAAGGAGTGCAGAAGAGCGTGGCGAAAACAATGCCAGTAGGAAGCAAGAACTAAGGCTGAAAGAACTGTGGTTGTTTGAGCTAGGAAAGGCAGGAGAAACATCTTCAAATGTATAAAACTGTTACAGGTAGGAGGGAAATTGTCTCTATTATGAAGAAGTGACAGATTTAAGATTCACACCAGGGAAGAATTTTCTAATGGTTAGGATAGAAAAGATTGTGAAGATGATTGTGGAAGCCCAGCATCGCAAATGTTAAGAACAGGCCAGAAAAGCATCTGCCAGAAAAGGCTTAGATATAATAATTAGTTGATCCCGGTTAAGCAGAGGCATGAACCAGAGGGCCTTGTGTGATCCTTTCCTGCTCTGCCCTTCTGTTTTTCTATGCTTATGTAACAGGCTGTAATAGGTAATAAAACACATTCTTGTCTATTCCATGATTCCTAATAAATGTCTGATAATAGGTTGATATGATAGGGTAAAAAAAGACACAATGGACAAGGGTTTGAGACAAGCAAAAAGGAATACTGTTCATTGCATTTGATTTTCAGTACAAAAAATCCCCACATTTGCTATAGTTGTATTCATCCATATTTATGGCCCATTTATCAGGAATAGAGTGTGGTTCCAACACCATGCAATGCTGTTTTAATATTGTCTGGGGCAGATCACTCTGGCTTTAATCTATCCAGCATCTCTATAGGCACAGACACTTCCTGGACACCCATCCCCAGTTGCTAGGGGGTTTGTGAGAGTCTTCAGTCAGAAGCAGAATTTAAAACAGCTTGATACCATTTTGTTTCTGTTTCTGAGCTGGCTTTGATTTGTAGGCCATTACATTTTTTTCAAGTGAAGGTACATTCATCTGTATATCAAATTTAAGCCTAGTGATAATAAAATTGTGTTTTAGTTACCTTCTGTGGATAACTTAGAGATAGTTTGGACTGTGAACTATATAACAAAAACTTTATCTACAGTTTGTGTCATGGGCATTTTATCTGCAGCCATGCATAGGATTAGAGTGCAGAAAATTAAGTAAAAACACTTTTAACTCCCGCCTTGGGGTGACAGTCCTTGGCTTGGCGTACTTTTGTGCAGATTCTAAAATTTGAATGCATGATCAGGTTTTCTCCATCTCCTAAAGTATTAGAAATGCAAAGGGACAGCATCTTGGTTATTTGCTGTTGGATGATGCCATTTCCAAACAGGCCTGTTCCCTGAACTGTTTATCAATTTTTTGTGAAGAGTGAAGTGATTTTTTTTCTCTTTTCTAACCGTCTGAAAATCTTAACTTTTTGCTGAAGATCAACTCTAACAGCTCACACAATTACCTGACCACTTCTTTCAGACTTCATGGCAGTCAACCATAAGGCTCCAATGCAGTAAAGTATCGTAAATCCCTTGCTAGATCAGATTTACCATAATAATCTCTTCCATTCTGCCACAGAAAGCTCAGAAATACCAAGAACCTCTCAGAGCTGATGTAGCATGTTACATCTGCCTTGTGTAGTCAGTTTTGGGGAACAAGGCTTTAAGGCTTTATCCAGGATTAGCAAACAAGAATTTCCCAATCCCCACAGGTACCCCTGTTCAGTTCCCTTGTGTCCATCTGACCAATCCAGAATCCTTCTGCTGATTGCTGATCAGTCCAGCTGTCATACAGCAGATGCTGCACAGCCCATCTGGGAACACACCTTTACTTGCTCACTTATGTTTGGGTCCATTTCAGCATCCTGTTGCTTCTTAGATGCAGTCAGCTGGTTCTACCTATTTTCTGTTTATGATTTAAGCTGATAAAACCTATAACCTTTCCATGGCTGTGTACCATTAATCCACTGAAAACATCCTTCACCCTAACCCCATGTTGAGAAATAATTTGACCATCACTTAATTTGTTTTCCCTTTATTCTTTCACCCTGCCTCACTCAATCTCCGATTCATTTCCACTTCCTCAGCCAGTTTTCTCAACAACCTCTTCTGACTCTCTTTGCTACACAGTGTTGCTCTTAGCCCCCAGAATACTCTGTGTAGTTGCAGCTCATCAGATCACCTATCCTCTTTGTTGGAGGGAGAGACTAGTTCTTCCAGAGATTTGTGTACACTAGAAGGATTATTATGATGATATGTTTATTATAGGAAGACAGGGAGCTAGTCTTGCAGTCTAGTACAGAAACAGACAAAGAATTCAGAATGTCAGATGAAGGTAAAAGCTTGGGATGATTCATGGGAGCTTGAAGCAAAGCAATGTCCTTACACAAGAGTTCTGGTCTTTGTACAGAAAAAAAAAATCTCCTCATCATCAGATTTCTCACTGATGCTGCACTGTAGCCTGTGTGTGCTTATGGCCTCACAACCAAAAGACATCACCATTCTAATGAACCGTAATTCAAGATGACAGTCCTAGATTTGAATTTCCTTGAACTTTAGGAGAGTTCAAACCTAGATCTGAACTTGGCAGCTCCAAGTCATGTTTCTTTATGATTTCGTGGCAAGCTTGACTAGAAGTGTCACTTTTTATACACAAATATACCTGAAGCATAGAAAACAGTCAAAAAAACAAGTGTTGGATTGCGGCCGATGTGCTGCCCAGCCCATCTGTGAATACCATGTTGACCTCTGCTTCTACAAATGCTGGCAATTGTGCAAACGTACTGTTTCTATATGCAGGTAATTAACTTAGATAGTGAACTTAGCTGAGGCTGTAATCATGTTTTTCTTTGCATATTTCTTTCTTCTGTGCCCTAGACCCTGCTTTAAATGAAAAATATTTAGAACATTGTGCTTTATCTTTGCCTGTGGATTTGAACATGTTTTCCAGTCTGAAGATTATGTGGTTGCCAGAATCACTAATATTTCTTGTTGTATGGCAGACACAAGAAAAAGAGGAGAGGAGCAATTTATTTTAATGGTCTTCATGGGGCTGTTCCTTGTGCTAAGAGTCCATTTTCCTGAACTGTTGTTCCATACCCCTTTTGCAAGTATTTTTTTAAGCATTCCTCTGAGTAAAAGAAAAAGAATGATCTAATAGTGACGGCACAGAACAGGCACTCAGAATACTACTCTTTTCAAATAAGAGCTCTCAAATATCCTACATGATCATGGCATCTGTAGTCTGGACTTTTAAAGAAGAAAAAGAATTTGCTTACCTCTGCCATTTTCAGCCCACTCAGAAATCTGTAGATAACAGGTGCAAGTGCAAAGTATTGTTATGTTATATAAATATGAGCATTAACATTAACACCAATTTTAAAAGTACTATGCACAGAAGTACTTCTGAAAGAATGTTTCCTTAACTAATAAAGCCTGTAGGAAGAGTGTAACAAAGTATATTACAGCATAAAATTGAGCTGTTAAAAAATAGATGAGCTCAAACATTTATCCAAAAGTCTATCAGTTGAATTTGAGCTGAACTCTTGCTTCTAGAATTGTAAAGAAAAAATCCTGTTTGCATATAATAATGACAAAAAGGCCACTTTTCTCCTGTCTCTGATATCTAGATTAGGACCTGTGCTGATTCATCTGTTTTTTCTGATGTGTCCATTAACAAGTACAGTATCTGACCCTAAAGGAACAGGCTCTTCCCGGAATTTATCTGACTTTATGGACTCAAGATAAACCTTTTGACTCGAGTTTCCTCCTTTGCATTGGGTGGAAGATATATCAGTTGCGTCTAACCTGTCAGGCTCCTTTCTTAAAATATTTTTTTCCTGTTTTGCTCATCAAGTGAGAGGGTTGAGATCTTTAAAATAGCAAAATCCTATCATGTCATTTAGAAAACATCTGACTTCAGCAGGCAGAAGAAATCCCCAAAGGTAGAAGGTTCTCTTTTACATGCCACTTAGCCCCAGTCTCTGAGGTTTTCTCCATGCGGGTTCTCACTGATCTGCACAGTGCCTGGAGATCTGCTGCATAGGCAGGAGGTTCGAGAGTCCCAGCCTTGTTCCTGCCCTTTCAGTCTTCCCACACACACACTTAATTGTGAAAGGGGACAATTTTAAGAATTTCTGACTGATGTAAGTCAAAGTGCCCATGCTCCATGTTTGCTCTGGGGCATGCATGTGCTCATCCAGACAAAATGTGGAAGTGGCTCCATGGAGAGCCTTACAAAGAGAAGAAAAACAGGTCTTGATAAACTGGAGGTAAGGATGAGACCAAAGCACCACTACTGGGAATAGTCAGCCACATAAATGCAGGGGGGAGTAACAGGCTGGACAGCCATTCTGTGGTAAATAATCTGTGCTTTGTGCAAATTAGGAGCTGATGGCAAATTAATGCCAAAGTGTAATGAAAAATGTTCCCACGAAGGACATCTGACCAGGAAGATAGTGTAAAAAGATATAAGAAGTAATCCATCTCTCTTCTGCACCAGTAGAATCTCAACTGCAGGTTAATCCTGCAGATAATCTGGAGGAAAGTAGCAAAAATGATTGGAAACCTAGGGAACACAGCACCTCAGGAAAGACTGTTGTTGTTTTGCTCTAGGAACCAGAAATCCTTGCAGTGACATAATAATGGTCCTCAAATATGTAAAAGCCTTCTGCAAGAGGAAAGGAATTCTTTGTTTTCTGTGTCTGTGAAAAAGAAAAGGATAGATGTTGGATTTAGACCATAGCAGGAAAGATATGAGTCAATTATTATTAGGTGGTTTTTTTTGCAGAAGGGCAGTGAAGCATCTGAGGAGACTGTTGTGAGGATATTGTGGGTTTACCAGAATTAATGGTTTTACAGACAGACTAGATCAATGTCTGCCAGGGTAAGCGCTGGGCAGCAGATGCTGCCTTGGAGAAGGGAAGTGGACAAGGAACCTCAAGCTTTCATCATCCTAATTCAATGATTGTTAGATTTTAGCCCTAGTCATGACAGAAATAAATGCCCCAGCACTCCAGAACTGGTTGTATTTTGAACTAAAAGACAAAATGCTTCTTGCAGCAGAGGAAGATGAGGAAGAACCCGAGATGCCTGTTGGCCCTCGGCCTCGCCCGATGTCTGAGCTGCACCTCAAGGAAAAGGCTGTGCCCATGCCTGATGCCAGTGCTTTTTTCATCTTCAGTCCTAACAACAGGTATTTAAGAGGTGGCTTAACTGGAACAAGGAGACGGAGAGCAGGTACCCATTTCACGCTGGGCCCCAAAGGTTATGTGGTGCAGAGCTCCCTTCCAGCAGTTCATACAAGATATCCTTTGACCAGTTGCTCCTTTAAACGTCCTGTTGTGAAATCCTCATGAAAGCACAACTGTAGGGAGCCCCCTGACAACATTCACTGGGAGGTAATGGCACCTGCAAGGCTGATTGAAGACACAAATCATGACAGCTGCAGAAATAAGGGACTTTGAGACAAGTCAGTAATTGGAATTCTCCAACATACTCAGGCCCAAATTGCAAGCAAGCCATCATGCAGTCAGTCAAGTGTGAGGTAGCAGCTTCCTGTCCTAATAGCTGCTCAAAATCCACTCTTATTAGGGAGTTCATGTGTGTCTGCTCATTCCTACGTGTCAAGAATGAGCATACAAGAAAAGGGAGGAGGAGAATAAAAGTCCCTAACTCTGAGGGGTGACTGAGGAGAATAATTCTTCTCTCACACTCTTCTGTTGGGCTCCTGCAATGTGGCTTCACATTGCCCCACCTGTCTTTCCAACACAGGTGTGTGAGACACAGGAGAAAATATCTTTCCAAGGGTGCAGAAATGAGCTCACTCTCTAGTGGTCTGTACAGCATGTATCCCAAAATCTCCCCTGGGCACTTGGCCTCCAAACACAGCCCCAAAATAAGGCAGGGCTATAAAAGCACAGCTGAATTCAGAGCCAGTATTCCACACACAGCAGGGCTTGTGCCACTCCTCCTTGGATATGTGCAATAGGGAGGGACTGATGATGATTGGGACTCATGGGCTCTAATGCCAGCTTTGCCACCCACCCACTGTCACTTGTTGAAGAAGTAAATTAACCTCCGCAATCATCTGTAAAATTGCTATAATAGGGGCTTGGAAGCTTAACATCCAAAAGTAGAGCTAAACAGATTAATGAAGTGCTTCTAGAATTATGCATAGGACTGTTACAAGTCTTAACTCCTCATGTCCTGGTACCAACATATGGAAGGTGCTATAATGGTCCCTAGTAAGCATGCTGCTGTTTGATGGGAGACTGCTGCTGCTTTACTTGCTAGCTTCCCACTAAGAGTGCCAAGCAATTTCTATTAGGGTGATGTTTAGCAGGCACCCTGCATGGCATGATGTCCTCCCAGAAGCCCTTTGCAAACACCAGTCTGCCCTATGTCCATTGCCCTGTTAGCAAGGTAGATCCCCCATAGCCGCTGCTCAGTGACACTCCAACCCCAGCTCAGAAAGACATTGGCCAACCCAAAGCCCACTTCTGCTGTTTTCCCCTTAACTGAATGGGTAATGCTTCTGTGAATGAAAGCAAGGGATATAATTTTGGGTTGGCAAGTTTCAGACCACATTTAAATCACAAAAGGCTCTGTCAGAACGGAGTGACTGTTCTCCATTCAAACACACCAAGTGTGAGTCCCACAGGCACCCAATCAGCCTGTGTGCATCACTGCATGACATGAAGAGCCAAGCACCCAGCAGGGCCAAGCACAGCTGCCTGGGCCCATGGTTCTCCCTGCTGCTGGGGCAGGGGGAAGCTGCTCTGCAGAGCAATCCTCCAGGGCCAGTCCTGCCTGCAAAAGCGAAGGGGGGGAAATGTTTCCCAGGTCTTGCTGTTCTCTGAGAGATAAAGTTGTGCCTCTCCTCTCTTTTGCAGATTTCGTGTCCACTGCCATCGAATCGTTAACGATAACATTTTCACCAACCTGATCCTATTTTTCATCTTGCTCAGCAGCATCTCCCTGGCAGCTGAGGACCCTGTCAGACACCTCTCCTTTAGGAACCAAGTATGCTTCCCATCCTCCTTCCCTCGCTGTGTATTAAAAGCATGGTACAAGCAGACCATGCATTGAAGCCAGGAAAGGCAGAAAAGACTGCATCAGGGGCTTTGGGAGTGGCTGTCTTCCCTGATTTGTGCCTTCTGTAGGCTGTATGTGAAATAATTGGGTTTTGCCGGGAACGTGAGTCAGAATTTGGCCTCTAGTTCATTTCAGAAGCACGTCTAGGGGAAGAAAGGACAGGAGGCTGAAGCAAAATTATTGTTCCTTGGGGTTTCAGGCATTAGAAATGGCCTGTAGAAACATTTTTTGTGGTACACATAATGCTAATTTGAGGAGTTTGCAGGTTCCCTTTGGAACATTTGCTCTCCCACCACATGCTTGCTTTTGAGGTAAAAAGCCCAGGGCCTGATTTTTACTCTGTTCTCACTGGTGTAAATCAGGAGTAACATTCTTAAGCTTGATGCAGTCACTCTGGAAATTGGTGTCATCAAGGTTAGAATCAGACTATTTGAATGCAAACTGCAAAGCTGTCATTAAATTTGAGATAATCCATAACAATGACCCACTTGTGCACAGCTGTGTGTGCCCACCACATAGGGTTAAATGTATGCCAGTATGTATCAGTGCTGCAGCATGATGTGAGCTGGCATATGGGTTTCTGACATGTCACAGAAGCTGCCACTGAATCTGTAGCTGAGAGATTTAAGTGAGAAAAAAAGCAGTCAAAGCTGATTGTCCTGGATAAAAGAGCTGAAGGTTTGGGGCAAAGTGTTGTCATGTGTATTTGAAGCCACTGATGTTGCATGAAAATCTGTCTTTAATTTTTGCAGGTACAGATGTTTAAAATGTATCCTACAAGGGGACACTGACAAGATATTTGGGTTGCAAAAGTGCCTTTACACTTTGACAGTAGAACAGTAAGACTATGTCCTGCCTTGTGCCCACACAGGGGCCTGGGAGAGAAAGCAAGCAAGCAAGCTGAAAGCAGATGAGCTGCCTTTACGTTCACTCTGGGACAACATAATCAGACACTAAGCTGTGCACAAGGACTTGTGCAGATAAGTGGTGCTGTTGGCCGAGACTGTCCCAGAGCACGAAGATGGGAACAGAGAGAACTTCCTCCAGCAAGTGCTAGTGAAGAGGCTTGGACACTGCTTCTGTCCCAGGGTGGGCTAGTGGCTGCATCTTTCTAGTGTCACACAGGGCTCAAACAGCAAGTTTTTGGAACTGCTTTCCCGCTCTGATCAAACAGCCTTCCAAGCCCAAGCAAATCCTAAGACTTTATGTGCTCACAATACTACTGTTTGCACCTTGGCAAGGTGCTCGTTCATTCTAACATATTCTAGAGTAAATTCATATTTAAATAATAATAAATATGCCTACTGATAAATGGTGCTGCCTGCACAGATGGAGCAGTGATCATATCCATTAGGCACGATTTCATCTGTAAGGGACATCTTTACTAGCTGTAGCTTTGTGGCCACCAGTATGCTGTAGCTGCTTTACAGTGCTCTGGTGATGTAAAGCAGCTGCAGGTACACCTTAATCATCCACTTTAATCAAGTTTATGGCTGCCTTATGTCGGTGGAGTCATGCAAAGCAGCCTGACAGAACCCATGAATCTGGCCCATTGATTATAAAATTACTCTATTGATATAATAACCAAATGTCAGGACCTACAAGGCAGCAATGCAAGGGGACATTTCCAGCTATAATGTGTGTAAATTAATATAGGATACAATAGAGATCTGTCCATCCTTGAAATGGCCCTTTTTTAATTCTCTAAGTTGCAAAAATTGATAGAGCCCAAGACAGCCTTGAAGAAGCAAGAACAACTTGGGTTCAAAAACTGAGCAGTGACCTGAAGAATTTTAAGTTACACAGTAGCAGTAAGTGATGCATTCCCCGATTTGACATTCAGTGTCTGCAAATTTTTCCAGATTCAGACCATGCTTAAATAGTGCAATCTAAAATAACCTTGTAGTTTGTAGTAGCTACCCCCCTGCCCATGGCATACCAAGCTGTAAGAATCTAACCACCTATAAATCTGAGTTAGGGCACAGGCACTGAGGTACAATAAGCACCTGTGGGATGGGAGAGGACAGTTTACTGCTGTATGTTTATTAGAGTTTTAGCAGTAAAGGTTTAAATTTCACAAATTATCTGTTTTCTATAGCTTCCATATATTAGCTTTCCAGTTTAGAACTTGTTTAAGCTAAAATAACAGTAAACCAAGGGTATGATAATTTTTATTTTCACCATTTGTAGTGCAGATAACACTAAAATGGCTTGGGATACTGGAATACATTGGAAACAAAAAGAGTTCAATTCTGGTCCCATTAGTCAATGAGAAAGTTCCCATTTGCTTTTGCGGGATGTTAACTGATGGGCAGTAAAAGACATTTCTGCCCCTGATGCTGTTACTTTGAATATCACTTTACAGTTTCAGACTTGCTGTTGCCTTTTGTGACACTCCAGGGCCACTTTTTGTGGTCTGCTATGCATGCCACCTCACCACCAGGTCCAAGTTCATGGGAATGATGAGGGTTTCAGCTGTCATCCAGGATGCCAACAGAAAGATGCAAGATCTAAGTTAGGCACCTTTAGGACACGACCAAATTATGGTTGCAATACAAGAGCTGGGATTCTGTTCAATTGGCAGAGTCTTTGTTATTCATCCTAATCCAGGGCAAATCAGGATAGGGAAGAAAAATAGCTAGAGCATGAATTTGCAGTTTGCTTTTCTTCCTTTGTAAGAGGCACAGAACAAGCCTGAATGAAAGTTAATAAGAAAGAATCTAATGTTTTCTACTGAGAGACCAGGCACCATGTATTCTCAGTTTGCAAGTCTATTTGGGAAAATACTTAAATCGCCTGTTCTTTATCAGATTAAAAAAAAAAATCCTACAACAACAACCAAAGTGGGTTTTCACCTCTAGAGCCCTCATGGGAGTGTAACTCAGAAAAGATTTCATGTCATGTGCTTCTTGTCCTCCGTGCCAGGATCTTCACTGCATTCAACAGGACATCGTTATGAAACCATTTCCTATATAGTCCTGCTTGTTCAAAGGCATATCTATTTGATTTTGAACTGTGATTTCCCATTCAAGTGATCAGTCACTGATCTACCCTCCCTGCTCCTATTCCCTTTTGTTTTTACAGATTCTCTTTTATTTTGATATAGTTTTTACTGTCATTTTCACCATTGAAATTGCTCTGAAGGTAAAGTGCCCATCTTCTCTACCATTACTTGTTCACAAGCTTACTAGTTTTCTGCCACTATCTGTTGCTAACACACACGCCTGTATGTTCCTGAGTCACGCTCAGTACCACTAACCCAATTGTGCTTATTTTTCAGATCCTAGGCAATGCAGACTATGTCTTCACTAGTATCTTTACATTAGAAATTATTCTTAAGGTAACCAATCTGAGCAATACACTCGTTTTCTCCTTTCTTTCTTTCTTTCTTTCTTTCTCTCTTATCTCTCTCTTTTTCCTTTTTTTTAAACTGCATTACTTTATCTACACAAAGGATTGTTTATTTTTTTATTTTATCATTTTGATAGCTGCTTAAAAATTCTTCTTTGAAATTTTGGTATTCAAACTTGTAATTTAGGGCCTATATCAAAGCAATGCTTTTTAGAGGGATCACAATGAAAGGATGATCCTGTTGAGAAAAATAAGAGGGGACCAGGAAAAAGGCCATCACCCCATAAATTTCTCTCACTACACTGGCCAGTCTTTCCAAAACAGAATTAGTTTGCTATGCAAGGAGCCCTGAGCACACACACCTCCTCTTCTTACACATGATACAATCCAAAGAAAAGGTCTCCATTCTGTATAAGTCATGAGGCTGAGCCAGAGGGCAGCCAATGACTTCTGTAAGGTTACAGTGTGCACAGTCAAATAGGAGACAGGGAACACAGTGCAGAAGCTCAATTTTTAGACATGGAGAGGTAACTGAGAGTGCTAATCACTGCAACACCAAGAACTGTAGCCACCAATGAAAATTGCTGCATTGCCTGTTTGAAACCTGATTTCCTGTTTCCAAGGAACATGCTCTATACCAAGGGAAATGTGCAAGAGAATGGTTTAGCTCAGAAGAAAATAAAAATAGGCTGCCTTGTTCTTAACTCTGATTTTCCCAAATTGGTAGGCTAATTATTTAAATAACAGTAATTGAGCAAAGTTCTGGCTTTCTAAATGCTAGGTTCACTTGGCAGCTTGTTTTTTTTCTCAGCAAGCTAGTTCTAAGTGCTGGCAGGCAGTACCTTAGAGTTGCTCAAATCTTGCAGCTCAAGACCCTAATAACAGTATCCATACTGGAGGCTGGCAAGCAGGGTGGTCTCTACATATTTTTGTAGAGAAACATGCTTTTTTGATATTACTTAAAATCACCAAAGCCATAATGTTCTTCAAAGAGATGCACATATTATGCTCATGCACAGTTTGCATCTGTGTTTACACAATAAATCTGAACACGCACGCACCAAATGGCTGATCAAAAAGGTCTGACAAAAAAGGAAAACATCTCAACAGCAGTATTTAAAAATAAAGCCATAGTTCAAGGCACCTGTTTGAATTTACAATTACTAATTCTGCTCCCCCTGAAGCAAATGGTAATACTCCTAATGACTTAAGTGGAAGCAGAACCTAACCCAACCCATTGGCGTATTGCTTTGTTTTCATCAGGGGAGTGCACTGCATAGTACCCTAGTTACCTCCCCGATGTCCTCCTGTTAACTTCAGTGGTGGAAGAGGAGTGCAAGGACTACAAATGTTTAAGATATTCTTCTGCTCTTGCCCTGCCAGTTCCTGCCTCACAAGTTGTTTGGTTTTTCAGTGCATGTTTCTCTGCTGCCTTGCATTAAGCACAATGTTTTCTGCAACAGCAAAGTCAGTGTAAATGCTAAGAAACAAAAGAATAAATTGCCACAGGATGTTCAAGGCTGTAGAGAAACAAAGCTTCATCCACCCTGATGTTGCTGATGACTCCTGCAAGCCTCACACTGTCATGGTGGAGTCTGGTGAATGTTAGCAAGGTGACAACCAAGTTTTTTTAATTAATACCCTAAAAGCTTGTTCAGTGCCCCAGATGGGAGGTAAACATAGATTATACACTCTTTGAGACAACAAAATCTCTCAACAGAGAAAACCACAGTTTGTATAGAACTTAAACTCAGCAGAGCTTCTCCTCCTGATTTCAATGGTGTCTCCTTTCTTTCGAGATTGCCATGCAAAAATCTAACCTGTAAAGGGCATCTTTACCACCTTTGTTATGGCAAGAACCTTTCCCCCCTTCCCCAGTTGAATGTGTCTATAAGTATAAATTCTAAGCCAAGACCAGAGTTTATACTTCTTCCCCTTCTAAGTTCTGTCTGACTGATTGATAGTCAGTTCCCTGATGTCATGGATGTTTGGTGAAAATAATAATCTGATATACCATGTCCCCTTCCACTCTCCTCTGAATAAAGTTGTCACAGGTAGGCATGGCTGGAAACCACTAGCAGTTATGCCATCCTGAGGTGTTAGCAGCAGCCAGAAAACTGCAGTTTGAATTTCTAGTTCTCACTTCTCAGCTGGGAGTCTGACTAGATATTGTCATTGAGGAACAGCTGTGTCGTGTCTGCTCCAAGTTACTTTAGATGTCTAAAGTTACTTTAGATGTCTAACTTAGATGAGATTCAGAGGACCAAATTGTGTTCCTAACCCAGGTAATGGAGGGATATTAGCAGTGGTGGGGGTGTGGTTTCTTCAAAGCAGCTACCTTAGATTGCTCACCAAGTCTAACGTAGGTGGTACAAATACCCCCATCACCTCATCCTCTTTAACTCTGCCAGACTCGCTTAGTCGCATTCTGTAACTAAGCTCAGTCTGAAATTCAGATTCTGAGCTTAGAAGTGTTTAGGTCTGACATTGTGGCTGAGACCCATTTCTAATTACACTGTCACTTAATTCAATCCTGGAGCTGTGACATCTTCTTCAAAGCCAGCAGATATTCAATACCCCTTCATACACAGATGGGGCAGAGGGTCCCTTGTAAAATATGTAAAATTTGTGCCTTCCTCTGCTGGGTGATATTAATAATGATTACCTCCACAAAGAAGCCACTCTGTCTCGAGGAATCTTACCTTGGGCTTTCTGAGGAAAAACAAGGGGAAAATGCAACTGCTTCTAGAATAAAAGTGGAGGAAGCTGCGTAGGGATAAGAAAAGGGATACAGAGTTGAGCTGAACAGAGAGAGCAAACTGAAGAGAGCAGGAATTGCTCCTGTTGCTGCAGTTCAGCTTTAAAGCATCCAATCCCTGAGGGATTCTGTTTTTTCTTCATGGAGGGAAGAGACCTCAACTGTCCGCTGCAGCTGGTCTAAGCATTGAAAAACATTACAAAAAGCCCTTTTTATTTTATACTTTTAATTCAACTTAGCCAAAGAGGCCTTTATATAATACAGTCATCATCTCACAAGTGTCCTCTGCCATTGAAGTAAAAGGGAAAAGCATATGATTGCAAAGGGTAGTTTTTGCAAACAATCATTCTGCTGCTTTGCTAATTCTGAATGTTATGTACTCTATGCACTCAAAGTGCATGTTTTCCTCACTGAACCTAATATTGGCTTTCCCTGGATAGGTCTTTCGTAGTTATATTACTGTCTTCTTTACTTTCTTTTCTTTCAATGGGGACTCACCTTCTCCTTTGGGATCTGGGGGTAAATTGTCTGCTACATTAGAAATACTCCCCCACCCCAATTATATACTCTGAGCACAACCAGGTTGGGTTGGTTTCTGAACAGATGCTAATGGAAAAGTGTGTTTGTGTCTTCATGTACCTTCCTGCAGATGACCGCATATGGGGCTTTCCTCCATAAGGGCTCCTTCTGCAGAAACTATTTCAACATCTTAGATCTGCTGGTGGTCAGCGTTTCTCTCATCTCCTTTGGGATCCAGTGAGTGAGCTACTTTCAACTGGCTGTTTTTTGGGGACAGTAGGGCTGGGTTGGGCAGTGATACCTTAGGCTCATTGTCTTATCTGGGCAAGATTTTTGTCATGTGTCTGGAGGGATTTTTCTCAGATTATTCAAGACCATTAAAATTCATCCTGAAGAGGGGAGGTAATAGTTGGGAAGTGCTACACTAGTGACCTGAAGGAGGAATTTTCCAGAAAGAGCAAATGAAAACGAGAAACTTGGTCCACTGGGAATCATGAGACTTAACTTTGTTCCAAGATCTCAGATTCACTGTATCAATTCAAGACAGTTAGGCAACTTAGTGTTCCCTCCTAGAGCTCTCATAACCTCTTTGGAAAATGTGGTGAAAATGTTTTTCTACTTCCTAAGATGTTGTGGGTCTTGGTCAATGGAAGACCATCAAGTGATGGGAAGAGCAGTGTAAGAATCTGCAGAGTACTGGTGGAGTGACAGTCGATCCTTCTTCTGTCACACCGCTTTATGTTGGTTGATTTGTTAATCTGCTTAAGTTTTTTTTAAAGTTAATAGATTTACTTGACTGTCTGGAACTCCATGTGTCAGATAGGAAGTTTCCTAAATAGTATCATATCTGATAAGAAGTGAGCTCTGATTGTTACCATTACAGGTTAGCAGCTTACCTATGTTTGACCTGCTCTTTCTTCCTTATAGACCTAACTAGACTCCTAATATGTTCGCAAAAAAACTGTTCCAAACATCAGCAGGACGACCTGATGTCATGCAGCATGGAAAAGATTCTCAGTCAGGGTTTTAGTCTTGGAAGATGCAGAGAGCTCTGTTGTAGTAGACAGCTATATTCAGTAGTTAAAATTAAGTACACAAATCATCCTAATCAATTCAATCTGGAGTTTCCGCATCCTTAAAACTATGTACACACTTAGTTGATTTGCAGCATCAGAGGCCAAACACATTGCAGGATCAAACTCCAGGTGGATGGTATACCTTTAATGTTGGAGTCACCTAGAGTTTCCACTCTTCTATGAATATTTCAGTGGAGTGTTTCTTTGAACCTTATCTGAAAATGTGTTGTGATGACTACATCTTGGCACAAATTCCATGTCATAGGTATCCAGAGTATTTGGTAGCTTGCCCTGTTTAAAAAAACACCTTGCCCATGTTTCATTCCCTTTATTAATACAGCTGAGATGGTGAAAGCCAGAAGAATGTACACTGAGCCTGCCCAGATCAGGAAACAAGACCTATGAAGATATCAGAGAGTAATTTCCTTATCCCTGAAATGACATAGCTAAGAGTTAACTCTCTAACTATCCTAAGCAGTCTAAGGCTATGTAGGATTTCAAACAAGAAAGAGCAGGTGAAATCCATCTGCCCTAGCAGCACACCCCCTATATTGCTTTATCTCTCAAGCCTTCCAATGCTTTCTTCCAGATCCAGTGCCATCAATGTGGTGAAGATCCTGCGTGTTCTGCGAGTCCTTAGACCACTGAGGGCCATCAACAGAGCCAAAGGACTAAAGGTTAGAAGAGTCCCAATGCATTCTGTAAATTATAAATTCAAGTTATTTCACCCTACAAAGACTTTTGCAATGGTTTAAGTAGAGTTTTAGCAGAATGGTTGAGGTTGGAAGGGAGATCTGGAAGTTACGTTGTCCAACAACCCTGCTCGAGCAGGGCCACTAAGAGCAGGTTGCCCAGGACCAGATAACTTTTGAATATCTCCAAGGAAGTAGACACCACAACCTCTCTGGGCAACCTGTTTCAATGCTCTGTCATCCTCACAGTACAAAAGTCTTTCCCAATGTTCAGATAAACCTCCTGTGTTTCAGTTTGTGCCTGTTGCCTCTTCTGTCAGTGGGCATCACTGAAAAGAACCTGGCTCTGCCTTCTCTTCACCCTCCCTTCAGGTATTTATACACATTGATAAGATTCCCTCAAGCCTTATCTTCTCTAGGCTGAACAGTTCCAGCTCTCTCAGCCTTACCTTATAGGAGAGATGCTTCAGTCCCTTAATCATCTTTGTGGCCCTTTGCTGGATTTCCTCCGTACATCCATAGCTCTTTTGTACTGAAGAGCCCAGAACTAGACACAGTACTCCAGGTGCGGTCTCACCAGTGCTGAGTAGAGAGGAAGGATCACCTACCTTGACCTGCTGGGAGTACTTTGTCTAATATAGCCCAGGATACCATTTGTTTTCTTTGCAGCGAGGTCTCATGTTCAACTTAGTGTCCACCAAGATCTTCAGGTCCTTTCCTACCAATCAGCTTTCCATCTGAGTGGTCCAGAATCACCACTGAGGTTAAATGATGTAGTTTTCTAAGGTTACAGATGGGCTCAGAAGTCTATTTTAACACAACTTGCTGTATTAGATAAACTCTTTCCTGTGGGCTGGTGAGTGCCCAACTATGTAAGTTGGTGCTGCTGAAAAAAGTTTCAGAGAGCTGAGCTCTGGTATGTTCCTATCCCTTTCTGCCTGCTTCTAAGAGTACAGTGAGGAATGTAACAAGTTGGTCTTGAGATATTACTTAATGGGAAATAGTTAAATGAAATTCTTTTATTTGTATTTTTAGTCTTGGGCTTCTCCCTTAGCCAGAGTAGCTTAGAATCCTGCAAGTTACTTTTGTTCCTTTCTTCCATTTGCAGCATGTGGTCCAGTGTGTGTTTGTCGCCATCCGAACCATCGGAAACATTGTGATTGTAACCACTTTGCTGCAGTTCATGTTTGCCTGCATTGGAGTTCAGTTGTTTAAGGTAAAACCATTGGGCCCATTCATTCATCTGTTAGACTAAGCTGTATTATGGGGTGGGAAGAAAAATAGCATGAAGAAGCCTGAGGAAGGGAAGGTGGAGTCTTTTGTGTGAAAGGCAAAACATTTGGGACACTGTCAGTGTTACTTGGACTCCTCCCTCCAGCAGTTCTCCAAAACTGGACGGGGCATATTCAGAACTCTTGCCCTCCCTCTGTAGTCATGAGAAATCATCAGTAACATCAGTAACCTCCTTCTTCCCCAAGTAGCCTGTGGCATGACCTAGTGCCAGGGGTCTGTTCTAAAGGATTGGTACTTGCCAGCTGTCTACCCCACATCTTGTAGTGGAAGGGGCATGCCAGATAATCACAGGAGGTTATTTATGCACTTATTTATGTCTGCTTTTATTTCTTTGCCCTTCTCCACCCTTCTGACAACTAGTGTTCTGCAGCATTCAGCTGTCATGCACCTCAGGACAGACACATAAAAGTACTGTGCAAGCAGATGAAAGCCTGTGCCCTGAACTAGCCAGATGCAGGCAACTCTCAATCCAGTTTGCTCACATCTACCTGCAAAAGAGCATGTAAACATACTCATAGTTGGTTAAACAGGTAGAAAATGCAGTCTCCTTGCTACATGATCTGCCCTAACCCTTTCACTGTCAGGACAGGTTGCTTCATTCGTCTTTCTTCCTTTTCAAGGGCAAGCTGTACAGCTGTACTGATAGCTCCAAGCAGACAGAAGCAGAATGCAGGTGGGTCTGACCTTTCCCAGTTACCCTCCTTCACCAGCCACCCACTCTCAGGGCCTTGTACTGGAACTGCAGTTCTGCCATGTTCTCTCTCTGCTCTCCATCCACAGAGGGTACTACATTACGTACAAGGATGGTGAGGTCAACCAGCCGATGATACAGCCCCGGAGCTGGGAGAACAGCAAGTTTGACTTCGACAACGTCTTGACTGCCATGATGGCCCTCTTCACTGTCTCAACCTTTGAGGGCTGGCCAGAGTGAGTGCTTCTTGGACCAGTGCAGCATTGGCAATGTCCTCATTCATTTCAAAAGAGAAAATTCAAACACAGAGCATAGACTTTGCCATTCTAAGTATTTAAATAAGTCTAAAGCATTAAATGTAGCAATAGTAACAGCAGTCATTGTAGTATTATGTACTTTATAAATTCCTCAGGTCCTGCAGGAATTGCTGTTCCTGTACTTGTAAACAGTGCAGAGCACTGTCTTAGCTCTTAAAAAATGATTGCCAGTTGTTGATAGCAATATTTGTTACAAATATTATGTATATAAAAGGATATAAAATGCCTGTCAGGCACCTACCAGCATTGCTAGGTGTTGCAAGTTTCCTGATGGAGCCAGCAGGGCAATATAAAACACAGCAGTGCTATCTTTGCAGTATGGGCAGACATGGGATGTCTTACCAGGCTATACTGTCTGTGCCACAGGGCCCAAAGACTCCTACAGCTCCACTCTGTCAGAGTGTCATGGGCATGCAGGGTATCAGGGGGCTGACCCTGACCTGTGTCACCCAGTGATGCCAACAGAAGTGTTAACAAATGTTAAAAGTGTTGATATCCTCTTTCCTCACAAAACTCAGTTCCCAACAACACAGATTCTCTTGTCTTCTGTTAAATGAAGGGCATGGTTTTGTTTTAAATTCTAATTGTTCAACTATGAAAATATTTCACCCCTGAACAATTTCAAATGTGTAAAGTTAGTAAAGCCGTGTCTTCTGTTTTGCAAGAGATTATACTCAGCTCAGTGCAAGTCTGTGCATCTGTGAGTTAATTACTTTTGATACAAGTAGAAGAAAATCACAGTTAAACTTTATAACATCACCTATAAGGCCTCAGGGCAGTTGCAGATTTTCTCTGCATTGGGCTCCTGTTTGCTTTCAGGTTGCTGTATAGGTCCATTGATTCCCACATGGAGGATGTGGGACCCATCTATAATCACAGGGTTGAGATCTCCATCTTCTTTATTATCTACATCATCATCATTGCTTTCTTCATGATGAACATCTTCGTTGGTTTCGTCATCGTCACATTTCAGGAGCAAGGAGAACAAGAGTACAAGAACTGTGAGCTGGACAAAAACCAGGTAATTTACAACACCTTGTTGCCACTAAAGGTCAAATATACACTGAGAATAAGCATTTAAGAGAAATACATACAGAGAGGAACATGTGAAGATTGCCAACATGATAAAACACTAAGCTGATTTCACTGCCATCTTTCAAGAGTCAGGTAAAAAAAAACTAATCTTGCTGTAAGATTTGCTCAAGGGACATTTACTTAAAAATGTGTGCTTTACCATTTGGTTCGCTGAGATTAAAGGAACATGAAGGACTATCTGGCCAAAGTAAATGCATATGGAACTCTTCAACAGGTAGAATATGCACATTCAGATTACGATCTAAAAGAAATTCTTCTACCAAGCTTTTTCATTTCAGTAAAAAATTGAAACACATTGTGTTTTTATTATATTCGGAAGTAGTTGACCAACCCTGTATTTTGGTTTTGATTTTTAAATCTATCTTGCCTCTTTCACAGCGTCAGTGTGTAGAATACGCCCTGAAGGCCCGGCCTCTGCGGAGATACATCCCTAAAAACCAGTACCAGTACAAAGTTTGGTATGTGGTCAACTCCACCTATTTTGAATACCTGATGTTCGTTCTGATCCTGCTTAACACCATCTGCCTGGCCATGCAAGTAAGTAAGCAAGCAGAAAACTTTACAGGTGATGAATTATTGGGCTTTTTTGGGGTAAATGTAGAAATGGCTGAGGTTGAGACCTACTTACACCTTCACACCATGCATTGATGGAGAGGGACAGCAGCAAGATAAAAGCCGTTGTACCATGTTCATTCCTGATGACGTTTAGTTAAAATTAAGAATCTGCCTCTCCTCTTCTTCCTGCTAATACCTGACACTTTCAGTAATTCTGTCCTAACTCCTTAAAAACAAACAAATGAAAAAACCCAACAGTTACATCACAGACCAACTCAGTGGTCACTATAATAACAAGTACTTCTCAATTTTGACTTTTCTATGAAATGCAGGAATAAGCCCAGCACTGCTACTCACCTAAGATCTGAATTTTACATTTTGGGCTTTTCTGTGTTAGGAAGTAGAAAGCATATTTTGGAAAGCAAGGCAATCAAGGAAACTGGGGATAGAGGGTAGGAAGGCCCTAGTATCTCCTTTATTATGTCTTAAAAACCATAGAAACTCTGTAAAAGGAACCTCTAGAGGCTATATTGTCTATCCCATCACCTAAAGGCAGGATTAGCTCCATCTAAAGGTTTTCTTGATCATTTTTTGCCTAACTTGCTTCACTACCGATGCTACTAATTGCCTTACCACCCACTATGCTGTGCATTTATTTTCCTTACTGTGTGAAGGTTTTCCAAACTTCTAATTTGAATCTACAAAAAAAACCCATTTGCAGCTGGATCTACAAGAATAGCAAATAGAGGTAGTAGATTAACATGTGCAGGTGGAACAGCAGTAAAGGGGAGTCAAAACCTTTACTACATAACCAGTTTACAAAAAAGGAAGTCTTACATTCCTCTCAGTCAGGAAATGGGCCGTCATAGACACAAACTGTTCTGTACGTTTCGCTAGGTCTGTGCTTTGCTGGCTTGTTCCTTCCAGTCTGTCTCTGCTCAAGGCCTCCCTCATCTCCCTTTTGTTTTCAGTCAGTCCCAGACTTCACCTGCTAACCCTATCTCTGCAGTCCCAGTTTCTTTGGCCACTCAAGCTCCGTTCTTTTCTATGCTTTTTCTGCTTAAGAACTACTCTGCCTATCACTCTCCTCCCTAAAATCCATCCTTCCTCCTCACCCAGTCAGTGTCTGAACTCCCTTACTTTGTCTGTGGTCCAGATAGTCCAGATCCCCACTCCTCCACCAGTCCTTCTCTTCTCACTACACAGACTCCTAGTTGCAATTACCCTTCCATGGACCTTCTTTATGGTCTCTCTCTGCCCTTTCCATTTGATTGTCTGCTATACTTTGTTCTCTTTTCCATTTTGTCCCTTACTGTGAGTCCAACTCCTGATGCACCAACTTCCCTTTTGGCCTTAGCATCCCACAACTGCATTTTTCACTGGTTCAATCCCAGTTTGCTCAGCTTCCAGCCTCCCCTAAAATATAACTTCAGTTTCCTATCACTTAGTAACAGTCTAAGTCTGCATTCACAGTCAATTTTCACCTTGTTTTCCCCCACTGCCTCCAGTCCAATGTCACCAGATTCCTTGACACCCCCCCCCCACCTTTTCTTGATCTGATCTGGCTCTTTCCCATGCCCATTGAAAAGGCTTCCTCTGCTGTCTTGCCTAAGATACCAAAAAAGGAGTGAGGGAGCATGAGTACAAGAAACTGCTTTACTCTTAGCTGATGTACCTACTGCCCTGCTGTCATGAAGCAATAGAGAGGGACTATTATGTTCACTCTGCAACTTTGAAGCATGGTCAGTTGCTGTGACAATGGCGCACACCCAGGGCAGGTAGAGCTAGAAGCTGTGAAATGTTGGTGTGCCCACAGGCAGAACAGCATCTCTGGAGATTCTAGGAAGTTTATATCCATCTTGAGAAAAGTACAGTTTTTCAAAGGCTTATAGTGAGGCCAGATTTGGGTCAGACGTTGTAAGGGACAGCAAACACAAAAGCCACATTCCAGTAAAATTCCAAGTTTTTAAGCAGAGTCCTGCAGGTACTAAAGTGTCTCAAGGAAAATGTTACAAGAAATTTTGAAAACACCTCAACAATATATTTTTCCCTGGCCTGGCTTTCAGCTGCAGCTGAATTCTGTTAACTGAAACTCCTTTAAATAAATTACCCTGATCCAATGCAGAATATGAAAATTAATCCCAGCTGGTTAAAGTTTATCACAGTTAAGTAACTACATATGGGGTCTTATAACATGAACTGGAAAATGACCTTAGAATAAGGCAGTGGAATCAGTCTCAAGTATAATGATCTGGAAATAGGGACATGAAAAGTGAGGTGTCAACATTTGCAGAAGACACTATTTGAATGACTCAGTAGAAGACAGCGAGTAACTTCGTAAGATCTTAATAAAGTTAAGTGAATAGGCAGCATGATTGCAAAATTAATTCAGAGTTGACAAATGCAAGATAATGCATATTGGAAAGATATGATTTGAGCTGCTCATATTCTTTGCAGAATCCTGAATTAAGTGTAATTACTTGGGGAATGGCTTGGTATCATTATGAACAGCTCAGTGAAACCCCTGTTCACTGTGCAGTAGTAATCTAACAAAAAAGTAATCCAAGTGCTATGGAAGGGCGAGATAACAAACACAATTGAAGACTGTCTTGTACCATTATGCAAATTTATAATGAGTCCTTAACTGGAATGATAAGTGTGATTTTGGTAACTTCCGCTCAAAAAGATTTTTGTAAAAAAGATAGGAGATCCAGAGCCAGATGGCAAAAATGGCTAGAGGTATGGAAATGCTTATGTGTGAAGGGAGATGGGAATTCTAAATTGAAAAAAGGGAGCATGCTTGTGTTTTCTTTTGAGAAAGTGAGCATGAAGGGAGATCAGCAGGGGCCCTGTGGATTCCTAACTAGCTGGTATGTCCGTTCCTCACACTACTGCCGGGACACTATTTTTCAGCACTACGGTCAGAGCTGCATGTTCAAGGAAGCCATGAATATCCTCAACATGCTCTTCACTGGCCTCTTCACTGTTGAGATGGTCCTGAAATTAATCGCCTTCAAACCCAAGGTAGGTGCTATAGGAGTAGAGTTTCCTGGCCTCTGTGTGTATGTGCATGTGTGCGGGGCAGCTGTGAGGAGAAGGAGGAGGTGAAACTTTCTGATCTATTACCCCATCAGTAACTGAGCTGAACAGTTGCTCTCTGGATTGGAGTCTCACATATATTTAATAACTTTTTCACTGGAGAGTAGACACACACACATAAAAAAAAAAAAGCAACATCTGCTAATCGGGAAGGTTCCTAGTTCTCTGTTTTTGTTAATTTATAATAGTGACACTGTGTTAAGGCTATAACATGTTTTCCATTCTGAATGTTATTCTAATGCTCTCTCTGACTTCTCTTAAATAAATTATAAATAGCATACCATGATTAGTCTCCTGGCCCAAGTGAAGTTAATCAAGCATGACTCATTTTGAGTTTTGAGCTTCAGAAAAAAATGTTTCTTCTGGGAAGGCTACATCTCAATGATAGTTTGGATTACTTTAGTTTTGAATTTAAGACTTCATTGATAATATCCAGTATCTCAGCAGGTCCTGTCTGAAAGTATTGTCCTGCCCATTGGGCCATGACATTCTGCTACTACAGCTGCACAATGGGGTATGATTATAACCTACAAGGTCTTTCAACTAAGTTGGCATAGCTACTGCAGAACAAGGACAAAGATTCTGACCTCACATAATTTAAGATTACATAAGGTTTTCATCTTAAGGATTTGCATTCAGTGATGTGTCATAAGGAGTGGAATCCAGATACCTAAACACAGGTACCTCATGCCATTTCATGTCCTCAACAGTACCTTGATACACGGGGTTGTATCTTGAAGGATTCCTTGATACACTGGGGTTGGCAAATTCTGTCTGAAGCATCAGTTGTGACATTCGTAAAGATAAGAACAGTCACATCTGACAGTCATGCTTATCCTTCATGTTAAACACTTAGGGGATCGCAGAAGTTAAGAGCTCCTCCTAGCTTTAACCTGACATCTTCCTCATCCTCAGTTCAGAATCTTTGCTCTCCAATTCTACTGAATTCAGTCTTAGTTTTTCTTGTTAGCTCTGTGTTAAGCCTACTCACACCCACCCCTTCTCTCCTTCTTCCACACTTTCTAGGACTTCATAGAAGAGTCATAATTTTATTTTCTTCCTGAGCCCGGTATCACTAACCTTTCTCAGATGTAGTTCTGAAAGTTAGGAGCTTCTTGTGCAGACCTGATGAAAGACTGATCTTTTTTTGTGAGATCTCAAACACTGTCTTGGGCAATTTAGAAGTAACATAATCTGTTTCAGAATGGATTGTAATTTTCAGGAGGTATTTACCTTTCACTTTTGAGATTTTGTCATGTCTATTAGCAAGCAAATCTTTTGGCACTTTGTAAAAATATTATTGTATATTATATACCCAGAAATGTATCTCACAGGCTTTGTAATGTTCTTCTGACTTCATGGTTTGGCTTTACAGGAGATTCTTAACTTTGAGAAAGATGAGGTTCTCAGCAGAATTTGTTTTGAGCATTTAGGGGAAAAGTTCAACCAGTTCAAATATTGAGCTCTGTACATATACAAGGAAGGCTTTACTTGACATGATTGCCTGACATTCTAAAAATAAGGAATTGGACTTGATGATATTGAAGGTCCTTTCTACTTCCTGTGTTCAATCTCCTTTTCAAGCTTTGCTGCACAATACAGCATTAAACAAAATCAACTGAGGCTGAACATGTATCCTCCAGACAGCAAAACATTGGAACAGATTGCCTAAAGAGATTACAGAATCTCCATGATTTGGGGGTTTAAGATTAATAGGGGAACCTTTCATTAGAAACAGCCTAGGAACACATGATCTGCCTTGGGGCAGGGGAATGGACTACCCATCTCACAAAGTCCCTCTCAATTTTCCATGATTCTGTAATTTTCAAACTAAATCCCTAGCTACTACACTACAGTAAAAGTGAAAATATAAAAGAAGTTTTTCTTGTGACCAGCAAAGTAGATTATTAATGAAGTCTTCTACACTAAGGATCAGACAAAAACCTCAGGTTGGGTACTGCCCATCCTGAAAAAATAGCCAGCAAAAAGAATAAATCTAACTTAAATCCTAGTCTGGCCTGTATGCCAAAAATAGTACTAACTCTTAAACTTCTATTCTAATTAAATACCTTCAAGAAAATAAACAAAATTTTTAAAAATGGAACCACAGGACTTACAGGGAAGAAAAATGGGAACAAACTTGTGAAAACAACTAATACAGCAAAAAGACTTGCCTCCAGCAGTATATTCGCACTGGATTATGTTGAGTACCAGTTCAGTGACTCAAGTTTGGAAACACCAAAATTCCTTGTGTAACTTGCCATTCTGTACAGTACAAGGATTTGGCCTGCAGCCTTCCTTCCCAGCTCCATATTAACTCCACCTGGTCTCCAAAGAAGGAAACCCCCTCTCCCAGATGACTATTTGGGCTGATGTGGACCAGTACAGGGGTCACAATCTACTTTCCTTTAAGTTGCACATTGAGATTGAAGCTGAACTTGCCTAGAATATGTTTTGATGTGGGAGTCTCCCAGCATGAAGAAAGTTGTTACCTCAGCCCTCTGCTTGGCCAGACCTTGTGCTCTCCTATTGCTCAAGGTGTAAAACCAAACTACATTTGCAGATGGAGGTTGTCCCCAGGAACACCAGCTAAAAAAGTCCAAAAGGATTTCATTCTCGCCTGAGTGAACATCACTACAGCACAGCCATCGCCCTCTCCCTTCTAACCAACCAAGTCACCCAGACAAAGAAATGAGATGCTAAGTGATATTAGCATTTCCCAGATGTGAAATGGCAAGCTTAAATGCTCATGAGATCTCTGCTGAAGACAGATTTGTCTGCCATTTCATGAGCAATAAAACACAAACCAGCCTTTGTTTAAGCTGCTTTGTCTCATTTTGAATTTGTCCCCAAACATCACTCTTTTCTATCCGAAGAGCAGCCTAAAATGAGGGAGCTGTAAGCTTTATGACTGAGGAACAGAAAGCAGGAAACTTGGATAGGTTAAGGTGTCGTGTCCTCACCTTAGCAACAAGCCCCGGGAGAATATGTCAACAGGACTGAGCACAGAACTGAAGCGGGCAAAATTTGCTCTGTTTTCTCTGACTTTGTGGTGCTTAATGCAGCAGCTGATGCTGCAGCTAACCTCCTGCTACAGCAAGCAGGACAGTAACTGACTTGTAACTCTGAAGTAGCCGCTGCAGAGCTCTCTCTTGCACAGTCACTTCCTAAAGGCACCTTGGAATGAAGGGTCTGTAGAAGCAACAGAGGATCACGGTTTTCTCCATCTGTGCAAGGTAGAACAAGCTGCTATTTATTCATACCTTTACCTGAGAGAATTGCGAAGGGAACTGGGACAGGTCTCTGGGGTACTCAGAGCTGCTATTGCCCTAGCTTCTCACAGAAGTCACCACAGGGATGTGCCCATGCAGAACAGCTTTGAGGGTAGCCTTATATGCAGAGTTCCTGCTGCAGACAGGGGTGCAGCAATCACTGTTGTATGAAATAATATAATGGACTACAAGGCTACCTGTGATTATATGCACAACAACAGAAAAGGTGGCAGTCTCTGACTGAATAGACTTTTTACTGTATCCAGTTTTTATTTCTTCACTCCTGTGAGGAGACATGTCCTTCTTATTCAGTGCTCTTGATAGTAAAGGTAACAAAAAAGCAAACACAGTCAGTTGCACAGACATTAAGTAGGATCACATATGTGCCTGACTGCAAAGAATCGCCATGGATAATCCAACCTTGAAACTAGTTCTTGTGGTAAAAGCAAGGATTTACTCATTGGAAGGCCAGCTGTAGGAATAAGGAGCCAAGTCTGAGTCAGGGCTTGTCTACTCACACTTACAGAAAGTATGTGAAGTGGGTATAAAGACAAGGGCTTTCCTAACTAAACATACTGTTACTGTTGAGATTGGTTGCTCTAGTCAGCAAGTCCGTTTGATACCTGTCTTTTTTATTTGTCCATCTTCTGTGAACAGTTTTGGTTTGCTTAGTCCCCAGGGAGGCTATAGAGAGGAGGGGTGTGCTTGCTGGAGCTGCTGCTGCTGGTGCAGATGGTGCATGCCAGGCCAGGACAAGGCCAGCCTCTGAGACCCTTGTGTTTCTGTGTGGCACTTTTTCTGGAGGAGAGGATCAGTTACCCCTGGTTTTATGCAGGATAAGCACTGTGTAAAACAGCTCATCTGTGATGCAGTCTTGAAAGAAGGGTGTGCTAGCAATGAGCAAGAGAGATCTGGGATGATTAGGGCTGCTGATAAAGAAGACACCCAGGACATGCCCTGCCTCTCCTTACAGAGTATTAATGTGCTGCTCTAAAGCAAAACTCCCAAATGGACGTGTTTGTCTTGGCTGATGCTCATAAACTGATTCAAGACTAGTTACTTCAAAGAGACAGACAAGCTAAAAGTAACGCTGTTGAGCCAGGGCCTTTTGCTGCTTTGTTTTTCTAATTTTATGAATTCTCCAGCCAGTCTGGTGAGCTGTTTTCCAGTTGCTGCATGGAGCAAGCTGCTGCTCCTCCATGCTTTTTTTCCAGAGAAAACTACTAAAGGGAATGAGAGATGCTGTGCTGTCTGGGGTGCTCACAGCTACTGCTGTCCTAGCTTCTTAAAGAAGAAATCCCCACAAGCACCAGTCCATAAAGGACCAGCTGCTCTGCAAAACCTGCTTAGGGTTTATATTTTCAACTCCAAGACAACAACTTAAAATTCCTATTCATATGAAGCTGCGCCATCTGTCAACGTATGTGCTAATATGGAGATGGATATTCCTCCAGGAATTTCTGATCTTTCCAGCTCCCTGGAATGGGCTGTTTTACTGATGAACAACATCTACTTCTTCTTTCAGGAAACATTTCATCTACGCTCTTACTATTACCCTCTTACTCGCAGGACTAGTAATCCAAGAGCTATGAATTTTCCACTGCTGTCCCTGTCATCTCAAACTAAGGAAGACATATCAGGGGAATTACTCCC